CCAAGGCCAGTCTGGTCCACTTGTGATTCTTGGTAATTCCTCACTATGTTATTCTACACCAGTGCTAGTCAATCACTTGTAACACCACTGTAGTAAGCGTTTCTTTACATTTACTTTTCCTTTTGTCCATTTAGGTCTTTTAAATTACAGGAAGGCCAGCTCTGCACTCCACAATCCACACACTTTATTTTTTTTTTTTTTTTTTGAGACGGAGTCTCGCTTCGTCCAGGGCTGGAGGTGCAGTGGCCGGATTCTCAAGCTCAGCGTGCCAATGCTCCGCCTCCCGGCGTTGCACGCCATTCTCCTGCCTCAGCCTCTAGAGAGCTGTGACCTACAGGCGCCCGCCACCCTCGCCCGGCTAGTTTTCCTGTAATTTTTTAGTAGAGACGGGGTTCACCGTGTTACCAGTCTCGATCTCCTGACCGACGTGATCCAGCCAAACGTCTCCGGCCCTCCCCAAAGTCTGGGAGTTACAGGCCCCTTGAGGCCACCGTGCCCGGCCCACAATCACACACTTATAAACAGCCCCGCCTTTGCCAAGCAGTGTAGACCCCTCACAGATTTGGGAATAACTATCCCTTGCGATCGTTCCCCACTCCATGTCCCCGCTGTTGAACTGAAGCAGCTCCTTCCATTCCCTGCACATTAGCCAGGGCCACTGTCCACATTGTCTACAAACACTTGAAGTTAACCGAAAAACTGGACCCAATGCTTATTCTATTATGAGAGGTTAGTTTAATTTGAGTTAAATTCCAAATGTTATTCAGATAACCTGGTAGAGATTGAATTGCTCTTATGGTAGCCTTTCCTAAGTTTTCTCTGTCTCTCATATTTGACCATTTATCTTCTACACCTGGCTGACCTGCATGTCCTTGTAGTGAACGTTCTACCTGGTTGTTTGCACGTTGCCTTTGGTTTTCAAATTTAACATTTGAGATAACATTTTTCAAACACCTATCTAAGAAAATAGCCCGCTGATATTGAATGGCTTCTTGTAGAATAAGGTTGACAGATGTAAGGTGCTTTGATTGGTTTTGGGCTTTGGTTTTTGTGCCTGTTACAGTTTTACACACATATCATTCACATGAAACATTACCATCAGTGTGTGGTTTATTTTTTCAAATTCGCAGTATGTTTAAAAGACCCCCATATTTCAGCTAAGCCAGTGTACTTGTTGAAACCGCATGTAGTGACTTTCCTTTCCACACATAATAGAGACATCAGATACTGGAGTCTGCCAGGGTGTAGATGGTTGGATCTCGGTGAATGTTTAGCTGATTCATGTGTCAGGAAGTTATCTCCTGTTAAAAAAAAAAAAAAAGTGAAGCAAGGCAGCGAAGACAGATTTAAGTAACGCAGGCGCCTTAAATGACAATTACATGTTATTTTCATGTGAATACTTTCATGTTCTAAATATTGGCTATGATCTGTTGTACTAACTTGGTAATCCATGGAGAATGTGTCTGGCATCATCAGAAAAGGAGGCCCAATGAAATTGGTTGTGTTGCCGGGCGCCGGTGGCTCAAGCCTGTATTCCCAGCAACCTTGGTGAAGGCCGAAGACCGGCGGAATCACGAGGTCGGGATGAGATCAAGACCATCCGCTGCTAACACGGTGAAACCCCGTCCGTAACTAAAAAAATGGACCAAAAAAAAAAAACTAGCCGGGCGAGGTGGGGGCCGCCGTAAGTCCCAGCTACTCGGGAGGGCCCTGAGGCACGGAAGAAATGGCGTGACGCCGGAGGCGGAGCTGGCAGTGAGCCGAGATCCGCGCCACTGCACCCAGCCTGGGGTCGACAGAGCAGGATCCGCCTCCAAAAAAAAAGAAAATGGTTGTAGGTTGTGTACATCTGTAATGATTGTAAATGGGCACAAGAGGGCAGCAGTGAGGAATTGTACTGTATCTGCAGAACACCTGCAGTCACAGTGAGTTCTGATAAGAGCATCACATTTAATAATTTACGAAGCCAAATTGCTCTGACTGGTTACTTATTTATTTTAAAATAAAAAGCAGATTTTTTTATATGTTTGATATACCCTTCCTTTTCATTTACAAATTCATATTACAAATTCCTTTTCATTTTTCTCTTTTTCTCTTTTTACCTACCCTTCAAAATTTATCTTGCTTCATGGTGAATGTTTGAGACACATTGGGGAAAATGTGGTTTAATGGTAGATTTGATTCTTCAACATGTAACATAGAAATTAATGAGGTTAAAATAGCCTGACTTGTTTGGATTTTATCAGTGTTTAAAATGGTGATTTATTATAGGTTAGAAAAACACTAATTTGGGTACAAGCTCTGGGACTCTGTTATTAGCTTACAGGGTTTTGAACTCCCATATGGTACAGTACTAGTTGAAAGATTTTTGACTTTGTTTTCAGCTTTAAAATCAATTAAATGTTTCATATTTATCTTTAAATTGGCTCTCCAATATTACAGTGTTCTTACACATTTTTTTCCACTGCTTGTTCTTAACATCAAAAAATACTAAATTAATGTACTGGAATGTCAATCTAGAAAGTATTAAAACCATAAAACTAAAACTATTTTATATCCCAGGGTTTAGCAAATTTTCAGGTGCATGATTTATTATAAGTAACATCATCCCATCTGTTTTGAACTCACATTTCTGTTTCGGATCTTGCAGATTTTTTATTGGCCATGATCAGTGTCAGAATTGGTACCATGGGTGCCGCGCTGGCATCTTGCAAAGTGAGGCCGAGCTCATTGATGAGTATGTCTGTCCACAGTGCCAGTCAACAGAGGATGCCATGAGAGTGCTCACGCCACTAACAGAGAAGGATTGTGAGGGGTTGAAGAGGGTGCTCCGTTCCCTACAGGTGAGAGCCCCTCTGTGTGCAGCATTTGAAAATGAAATCAGCCAGCATAATTTTGGAAGCATTTCTAGGATTTCAAGTTTCCAATCTTAGAGTGATTATTTACTGACTCTCAGCTAGTCTAGTGAAGTGCTTGACAAACTTCAGTCCTTCACGTACCAGTGTCATGAGCTTTACCATATCCCCACACCACCTCAGCTTATCCAACACTCAGATAATCTAACATGACTCACTTTTTTATACATTTTATTTTTAAAGAAACTTCCTCTCACTCCCATGGATTGAGAAACAGTATGGTTAGATAATAGTTATTATTTTCCTTATGAAAGACAGAAAGGGGGCTGGGCATGGGGGCTCACGCCTGTAATCCCAGCATTTTGGGAGGCTGAGGCAGGCAGATCATGAGGTCACGAGTTTGAGACCAGACTGGCTAACATGGTGAAACCCCATCTCTACTAAAAATGCAAAAAATTAGCCAGGTGTGGTGGTGTGAGCCTGTAATCTCAGCTACGAGGGAGGCTGAGGCAGGAGAATCACTTGAACCCAGGAGGCAGAGGTTGCAGTGAGCCAAGATTGAGCCACAGCACTCCAGCTCAGGTGACAGTGCAAGACTCCATCTCAAAAAAAAAAAAAAAAAGAAAAACAGGATAGGGATGGTTTGCAGGATTAGCAAGTGATACCGATGTACTGAAGACATAGAAGGCCAGTGTGGCTGCTCACACCTATAATCCCAGCACTTTGGGAGGCCAAAGCAGGAGGATCACTTGAATCAATTAGTTAGAGACCAATCTGGGCAACAAAGTGAGACCCCACCTCTACAAAAAATAAAAATAAAAAATTAGCTGGGCATGTTGGCACACACTTGTTTATCCAGCTACTCAGGAGGCTGAGGTGAGAGGATCACTTGAGCACAGGAGGCTACAGTGAGCTATGATCATGCCACTCCACTCCAGCCTGGGTGACAGAGCAGGACCCTGTCTCAAAAAAATGGGGGGAAATAAAAGGATATAGTGCATTGGATTGAAACTTTCTCCTATTGTTATCACAATCACAAGAATTGAAGTAACTAAAAAGGGAATCATAGTCTTAATGTGTGGTTGAATGTTATTTAACATCACATCTCTGCCACCTCATCATTAACCAGCTGTGGTAATGACTCCACACTTTGGACCCATCCCACCCGTTTACAGAAGCGATTGCAATGCCAGCACCACTCAGTGACAGCTCATCATGTAGGGCCCAGAATACTGATTTTGAGACTTCTTTCTAAGGCTTGTGTTCCACCCCCCACACCAAGGTCTCTGGACCCAGCTTTTTGAGTACC